TATTGGTCATACTACCGGCTTTATCACTTTCACAAAACTAGTTCCTCTCTGGTCAACTCGAAATACACCCGGTACCAACACATTCCACTTTAAGACACCTTGGATTATGTAGTAAGCTTAAGCGGGCAGATGTCGAAGAAGGATAGAACGCCCTAGGTGAAATCGTAACCTCTTTGAAAAGGGATTGGGTAGCTAGGTATGCTACAGGTACATATGTGCTTTCAATGAAAAAAAAGTTACAAAATAATCTACGGAAACAAAGAGCTTATCCCTATCCATTAAAGAAGGTAGATTACGCCCAGACCCAGCCCTTTTGCTCATTCAGGGTAGACTTTGAGGTGAGTTAAGGCAGCCGACCAGGGGTGATGAACTGCCTCCCATTCAGAAGAGTTGACCAGGAAACTGAAAGATTGCGGTAACTGAGCACAAAAATTATCAGAAACTAACAAATTATGCAAAATTATTCAAGCAATCTGAGCAAATGACACTTCGGTACGGCAAGGGGGTGGACAAGAGGATATCAAAGGAACTAGCAGGATTTCAAGAGCTCTCAGGGCATTTACATTATCAGGTGCTTATAAGCTATATTGCTTCTTCTGACCGAACCGGTTTCTGCAGCACGGTCAGCTAAGCATTAAGGTAAAGAAGGAAGGCAGTCATAGTGTCATAGTGGGAACAAAACGGTGTCTGTAGATGACAGCCAAGAAGGATTCATGCTGCTCACGGGAAACTACTAGTAATGTACGATGTGTGGAACAACGTTTCTGCAACATAAACGTCGCAGTTAACGTAGCAGGTGATTGGGAGTTCGGGAAAATAATGAGGAAGTATGAGGCGAAAGAGAAGCAGAGGGTAGAAAAGAACGATGAGAGAAATTTGTCGGGGGGTTACCTATGGTGCCAACTGCTATGTTCATCAAGTTGTTGTCTCATCGATATAAGTGCGTCATTGACGAGGGTCTCTGGGGGGTGTTTGAGCGAGAGTAGAGTAGGGGAACTTGTTTAGGAGTAACGTGAATATAAAAATACTTTCTTGATGAATGTCGATAGGGGTAGAATCGATGAACAGAGATAAACACGCGATGCTTGATGGGAATGAATTGCTGACAGTAGTGGTGTTCCCTCCTTCAAGCTCGAGCGTATTTGATTTCGGCTCTGAGAAACTAGCAAACAAACAGAAACGTCTCTTGTAGTGGCGAGTTCTCAATGAGGTCGTTTTTGAGTTTTGCTGTTCTTTGTTCGCCTATAAGCCTATCAAGTGCCCCCAGCCTGGTACTCGCAATTTTATGAATTTTTAAAATCAGCAATTCATCCAGTGAACCATGCCACTTGTTTGGAAGGGTTTTGTTGATAAATTTGAAGAGGGTTACCATATAAGGCCCCTTCAATCTCAGGTACCCGTTATCAGCTACTTCTCTACACCTACGTTACCCAGTTCTAATAGGTAGGGGTTTTAAGGCCTATTTTTCCCAATGAAGCCATCAATTCCCTTCTAAAAAAGAGAGAAAGGTAAAAAAAGGTAGTTTCATTGTGTGAGAGAGCCGAAACCTTCAAAAATCCCTAGGCCATCTTTAGGTCCATTCCTATAGAATCCATTGGAACGTGAGGGTATCTTACCGGCTTGGCTGTCACATAAACTTTCTGAAGACCACCACCGCGGAGGTTACCACTGCCTCGATGAATTTCACGTGCAGAACGTGGCGATTCAGATCCTGGTGACTCCATCCTGAATTACGATTGAGTTAGTTCATTCTTCCATCACAGAAACATGAACATTTACAGTTGACAGATCGCGCCATGCAGCGTACCTTCACCCTTTTTTGTCTATAGGTGATGACAACTACAGGAAGGGAGTCACAAGTTTGCCGATGAATCAATGTGGTTAGCGCGCTTTGGAGAATACCCAGACCTTCAAAGCCAACTAGATGTTGATATCACTATTTTGGCCTTCTCTGGCTAGTATTATAGATGTTCTCCTTATTCGGAACTATGGATTGATTAAGGCATGCTAGGAGGATCCAGCAGGATCCAGTTTACAAACACCTCCGGAAGCGGATCCTGTTTATACGATGACAATTGTATTGACCTTTTTGCCACCACAGACTGCCCCCACCCTTCTGCACAGCAGCCAAAGTCATCCAGTCTTTCTGAGTTTGGTTTTTAACGTGGTATGAACTGATACCATTGATTTTACATCGAAAGGCCTCGAAACAATTACTAATCTCTCATTTCGCTCGTAAACAGGTCAGGTAAGCAGAAAAGGTGAGCCGATAGGTGTGACAAAAAAGATTTCGCCAAGAAAGACTAGGAAAACAAAGAATCCAGCCAATTGCCAAGTCTGATTTGAAACGAATGAGCTCCGAAAAGGGCTATATGCTGGTAGAAAACCTATTTATAACTAGTTGAGCACCATGGAAAACAGTACAGTAACAAGAGTACGGTCATTTTTGTACGTCGATCCATCACAAATGTGATACCATGTTGTGAAAAACATTTAATTCTTATGTCTAACCTGATCACAGCAATCTGGTCTTTACTTCCGGTCGGTGACGATCTGTCAGATTCGTCTCCTTTCATTTCCAGCCTAAAAGTTCACTTGCCTAGAGATGATGCGAGAAAACAACCACGTAAGAGTCCTTTGCAGTGACAGAGAAATAATTTGAGAGCGAAT